TATCTATCTATCTATCTATCTATCTATCTATCTATCTATCTATCTATCTATCTATCTATCTATCTATCTATCTATCTATCTATCTATCTATCAGTAATAAAAAAAAACTTCACAAATGCACTGAGATGGAAGTGCAGTTCCAAACTTGTGCATTTATATATTCAATTCAATTATACATACAAATATATCCAGAAATGTGTATATATGTACATGTAAAGACTAATACTGACTAATCCCCCCGTGACCCTAGTGAGGATTAAGCGATGTATAGATAATGGATAGAAAATACATCTGTGGACGTCATGTGTGCAAAGTTTTTCTCCATGCTTCATATTACATTTCTCATGTTTCAGTTTGTAAGGGGCTCAAGCAACATTAATGTCTTAATTTCTACATACTAACTATATACCATGTATACTTATACTATTTCTAAATCTTTAAAACATCCTGATTTTGCTGATTATACATACTTACCCATTTGGTATTACACTAATATTGTCAAATTGTGACTGCCGGTTAAATTGATCCAAAAGAAAGCAAAATGTTTTTCTAAAGATCTTACAGTTTCTGTATATATACTTTTGTGTCTATATATCATTGTCTTAAACAAACAAACAAAAAAAAACTGCTACAGTTTCTCAAGACACATCATAAATCCATAAACAAGCTGATCCGTGCTAAAAACTAAGAAGAAATAACACTTGATATCTTAAAGTTAGACCGGATAACACAGGTTAGGACTGGCATCAGCAAAAGAATTAGAAAAGCAGCCAAAGTAAGTTCCTCCTTGTTATACACGTTTTGTGTAAATATGTTGCATGTGATAGCTTTTACTTGATCATTTATTCATATGCGCTGTAATAAAACAGTCTCCTCAGAGGTGGTTAAGGTGATTTAAGATGACTTGGCACTGACTGTGCTGCACATTTCCATTGTTTGGGCTCACTTCCAGACACGCAGCGTGATCAAGAGCACTGGAGGCGCCTTGTGTGGTGTTTGGAGGTGGAGAGGCTGCAGTCCTGTGGGTGGCTGTCCTCTCCTCCACAGGGGCGTGGTCCTCCTCCTGCTCCAGCCTGGATCAGGACCAAGGCCAGCGACAGCTCTTCAGCTCTCAAACCCCACACAGGCCAGACTGCACTTCTTTTTGACTAACAAAGTGTCCGTTCGGATGGTGATGGCTCACTCTGTGTTAGGAATGATGTGCACCTTACATATTTATATATATTTATTATAAAGGATGCAATGTAAACTCAATAAAACTATAAACTTCTCCCTGCCTTTGAGTATCTGTGGTTAACATTTAACATACACAGCAGTGATCTAAGTTTGTAGAAACACTGTAATGAGTGTTCTGCATTGTGGTAAAGATAACCTTCAACAAAAGTACAATTTATTACTTCTATGCTTTAATCAGTATAGCAACATACAACGACACAACGACTGCATTGGAACCCAGTGTTTTATCCATCCCGGAGTTGTAGACGAGGCTGTGAGTGCAGGAATCAGGCCACTATAATGAGTCTCATCCCGTATTCCGATATTGCGGAGGTCGGGGGGATGAGGGCGGCTGGATGCAGACTGCAGCACCAAAACACACTCTGGCGCACAGCTCGACACATCGATCCCGTTTAGCATTCTGCTGGGACAGCAAAGAAAAACTGCAATGACAGTGGACAGTATGGACTAAAGTAACATGAGACAGTCCAGCACCATAATGACTGCACTGAGATTACACGTGTGATTTTTATATGATGTCATTTTCTTTGCATGTCCTTACAGCGGACCGTGACAGGGAATCGTGACACAGTAACTTGGTGTGAAGTGAAGTTTAGTAGCTGTATGAGATCAAACATCTACAATAAAGCCCCTCTGTACAAAACGTGACCATCATTAGAGTTGTTGTGTTGCTGCCTGAGCTACAGGGCAGAGACGAGGAGCTGCATGAGTGAATTCGTGTCTCCCAAGAGGGTGGAGGCTTTCTGCAAAAGGTTGCAGGTTTCCCTCATCTTCTGTTGCTGCTGCGTCAAATGATGCGTCGCTGCGCCTTCGCTATAAAAGCACCTGTCCTGGCCAGACATCACTCGCATCTCACTTTCTCTCTCTCACGCACACTCACCCTCACACACTCCTAAACTCCACACACACTTTTTCTCTCCCGTGCAGAGCAGAGCCACCGGCCGGACACCACTAAAGCAAACATGAGTTACTCCAGCGACATCTACAGCAGCAGCTCCTATCGGAAGATCTTCGGAGATGCCCCCCGGCCCGGTCGTGTGGGTCTGGGAAGCAGCAGCAGCCCGTCCCGCCTGCACTCTGCGGGATACCGCAGCAGCCACCGCACTTACGGCTCCCCCTCCGTGATGTCCTCCACCACCTACCGCAGGACGGCGGCGCCCGGCCGCGTCTTCTCCTCCATGCCGGACTCCGGGATGGACCTGACCCAGTCCACCGCGGTAACCAACGAGCTCAAGATCATCCGCACCAACGAGAAGGAGCAGCTGCAGGGCCTCAACGACCGCTTCGTGTCCTTCATTGAGAAAGTGCACAACTTGGAGCAGCAGAACAAGGTGCTGGAGGCGGAGGTGACGCTGCTGCGGCAGCGCCACAGCGAGCCCTCGCGCCTGCACGAGCTCTACGAGCAGGAGATCCGCGAGCTGCGGGCGCGCGTGGAGGAGCTGACGCACGAGAAGAGTCAGATGCACCTGGACTGCGTGCAGATGAACGAGACCCTGGAGCGCGTGAGGGAGAAGCTGGAGGAGGAGAGCCGGCTGCGCGAGGAGGCGGAGAACACCCTGAAGGGCTACCGGAAGGACGTGGACGACGCCACCCTGGCGCGCCTGGAGCTGGAGAAGAAAGTGGAGTCGCTGCTGGACGAGATCGCTTTCCTCAGGAAAGTTCATGAGGAGGAGCTGCAGGAGCTGCAGGCATCCCTGCAGGCCACACAGGTACACACCCGGGCTCTGGTCACCTGCAGGCCCACGAACTCACTGTGGAGCAGCAGCCCCTGTTAGCAGCAGCTCCAAAGTCACATCACCAGAAATACGGTCTCGACTGCTCCAGAAGTTTTCAGGCTCACATCATTACATATCACTCTAACACTGACGCTACAATAACCGGAGCCTGTGCTCTGACTTTACAGTGACCGTCAAACTTAATTGGAGGCTCTTCTATATTTTTCCAAATGATTTCAACAAACTATAATATTTCTGTATTCCACTACATAGCAGCAGAATCAACAGACAAAACTACTGATGTTATCTAGTGATTTTACATACAGGTGTTGTGCCAAAAAAAAGCCAATTATTTATTTATTATGCTTTATTTTACCTGCTATGTCCTTCACCTTTAACCAATCTGACTGTTTTTACAATTGAAATATCTTTAAAAGACAAGTCAAACTCACAGAATACCGTTTTCCACCTGCCAGAAAGTGAATGCAGCCCTTATACTGCGACCGAAATGCATAAAAATGACTTTTTTTAAAGTTATATTTTAAAGCTATTGTACATAAAAACTCATCTTTTGATCACAATTATAATGTTACAAGAAACATCAAAGTCTTTCAAACACACTTTTTTCCATCACCACAGGCATAAAGTTGTGTGTATGTTCACATTATGTCTGTTTGATCCGGATAAATCATCCGCAGACATTCACAGCTTCGACACCTGTAATAGTAGTCAGTCAAACACGCAGGTCAGCGGTCACCGTGTACAGACTAAAGGCACCTGCCTACATATCAGACCGGCAGGTTTCTCTAAATAACCAGCCCTCCAGAGGCGAAGGGGTTTTGGAGTGCATCAGCAGTGCGGGCCGGTTCTCCGTCCTCTCTCCGAACACTGCGCATTGGGAAATTGATGGCACTGCAGTTCAGTTTCAGCTGCGCGCGCTCCCTCCTCCTCCAGAATCGGGGGTTTCGCGCGTCCCTGCAGCGTCCCGCGCGCTCGTAAAAACATATGTTAGAGCTGATAAAGTACAGCTGGTCAGCGACGCTTTTTCTTTAAAAAAAAAAGAAAAAATATAAATTGTAGATTTTTGTCGTAAAACTGAATTCTCCGGGGAGGGTATAAAGTGAGTATTATATTATAGGGGCGCTCCTTCAAATGAAAACACTGCTAGGGCGTCAAGGTCGTTCTAAAGTTGGGTTTTGGTGCTCCAAGAGCCGCCATTAGCTGCTTCATGCTGTGGGATACTGGTGGTGTTTTCATTAATGGAGGTGTGGAGGAGGGAAGACAAATGGGGGGAGAAAAATGCGGAGAAATAGCGCATAATCCAGGGGTGTGGTCGTCCCGAGGGGCAACAGGCAGAGGTACACTGGCAGCTGTTTTCTGCGGCTACATGTCAAGCAGCTAAGCCTCTTTAACAGTGGAAACACTGACAATTTGACCCAAAAAAAGTGCTCTGACTGCAGGCTAAACGAGCCCATGTATTGTTTTCATTAAGGAAGCCATCAATAATATTGATTTGGGTGCAAATATAGAAGCTCCTCGAGTTACCCTGGGGATTTATGGCCCTATTATTAATAGAACAGTGTTAAACCTCATCATGAGAAAGACCGAACACTAAAAAGAAGACATTTCGACTTCTAATTGCATGCAGCAACTTTACTTGCAACTTTGAGCAGAAATCAGTTAAGTGAACGCTCACTAGTATTGAATGAGCCGTGCAGTGATGGTTGCTGGGTAGATTTCTCCAGGGTCTCTCCTCTTGCCCGCAGGGAATATTATTGCCATGCAAGCTATTGACAGCACAGCTTTCCTCAGCAGAAGAGCCTGAGTCAGCAGTCGATTCATCAGTCCTGCAGCGGTCCACCTCGCTGGACTGCAACTCAGCTCATCAACACCCTGCTCACCTTATACATTTATGTATATGTCACCAGGAGAAATACAGTCTGACTACAGCGCAGAAACAGAGTGGGTGTTAAGTGAATGCAGCTGTGAGCAACAGAGAGGCAGGCAGGCAGCTGAAGTGTTACATTATTTGTGTACAGTTAGAGTACTCATCTATTTAGTTTATTTAGTTTTCGTCCAGGCAGGCCATTTAATGAAACAGAGCGGCTTGAAAAGCTTTTTTGTCATCCATGATGAAATTCAATAGCTTCAGTAACCAGTGTGTTACAGGATCTTCAAGCTACAGTCATTAGAGACTGAGAGAGCAAACACAGGTAAAGTCAACTGCCCAGAGATGGACGAAGATATTCAGGCTCTTAGTTATTCGAAAACAAAAGTTCTGAACAACACATTCAAACTAGTGACTTTATAAGCCATTAAACTTTATTCGGTCTTGTTATCAATAAGGTTTTAGCATAATTAATAAACAGGAAATTAATTTAGAGTGATACAGAAGAAATGAGCAAAAACATTCAATAAAATATTTTAATAGAATGTGAACAATTCCGAAGTTTTCTAAATGTATATACTGTACACATAATGTTACTCTTTGAAAATATAATAATTATTTTTATAAAAGTTTTAAATGGTACCATATATATCAAGATGTACTTCAGTGTCTGAACCTGATATTAACAAGCACTCATATTACAAAAAGGGTCTCCGCTTTATAAAAAAAAATCTTTTCCTGCCTCCAGGTGTCGGTGGAGATGGACATGAGCAAACCGGACCTGGCTGCGGCTCTGAAGGACATCCGGGCCCAGTATGAGAACCTGTCGGCCAGGAACCAGGCCCAGGCCGAGGACTGGTACCGCTCCAAGTTTGCCACCGTGACCGAGGCGGCTGCCCGCAACCAGGATGCCATCAAGCACTCAAAGGAGGAGCTGAGCGAGTACCGCAGGCAGGTGCAGGCCCGCACCCTGGAGATCGAGGCCCTCAGGGGCCACAATGAGGCCCTGGAAAGGCAGATTGCCGAGATGGAGGATCGTCATAGCAATGAAATAGGAGAGATGCAGGTATGGAAATGACATCAGGTGGAAAAACAGTTAATAATACAAGTCATAGGTCCCACGAGGCTAATAGTTGGCAATTGTGACCACATGACAAAATAAAGAGTATTTCATGATGTAATTTTGTGTGTTTGTGCAGGATACCATCCAGCAGCTGGAGGCTGCCCTGCGTACCACCAAAGGAGAAATGTCCCGTCACCTGCGTGAATATCAGGACCTGCTGAATGTCAAGATGGCTCTGGACATTGAGATTGCTGCCTACAGGTCTGTTATATTAGAAACAATACACCAGCAAGCATTGTGGGAAACTGGCCTAACTTGACTTCATTACACTAACTTAATGTATCATTTAAAGCCCCCCCTTTTTAAAATTCTTGTTAACATGCCTGTGTGTAGTTCTATGACTGAGCATTTCAACCTTGAAACTGCAGTGTAATGAAGACAGTTTAAAAAACACAGATTCAGACCTTTCATTAGGGGTTTGTATGTAATAAATCTAAGAAACCAATCCTGTCAGCTTGCAGGATGGGACTTTATGCATCATTATCCTTCTTCAGTTCAGTTTACAGTTTGAGTATGTATGACTGAATTACTCCAATATTACAAAGTGCCTTTGTGAAGCCCAGGGTAGTTTTACAGTGTTTGAGCAGCGTTGGAGGTGAGCTGGTGTGCTTGAGTTGCAGTGAACAGTGTATGGGTGGGTGGAGAGAGAGGCAGGGACTCAATAGATCTTGCTTAGAGTGACAAATGCCAATTCATTGCAAGATAAATAAAACATTTGAGAGCCTTTTACATTTTTATTTTACAATGTTTCTTGTTTATTTTCAAAATTAAAGAGTAAAATAATGATTATTGTAATTTAGCTTTTGAGGATGCCTTACATGTTAAATTCCATTACAGCTTGGCGAACATTAACCTTTTCAAAATCCGCTGAGGACAACAAAGCAGAGCAGCCAAAAGTGGAAAGTCTGCATTTCAGCTTAGAAGCTCAAGTACAAGTTTTCAGCTGATATTTTGTCAGCTGAAAATTTGTACTTGAATGAACTTTACTTCCAGTTCGACATTTATTTTTAGCATTTTTAGAATGGAACTCTTGTGGGGCGTCTGGTGGCCTGGTTTTGAGACATGGCTTATTTTCATTTTGATCAAGGGACCTTTGCTGCATGTTATACATCCCTCTCTAATCCAATAGTTCCTGTCTACAGCAATGTCGTGATACGTTCTAAAGTGTGGTTTTGAAGGCTTTCTCAGAGAAATCAATCCACCCCAGTGTAACAAGATAAATAGGAGGCAGTGATACAATGTGAAACCTTACAATTTTCTAAGTCGTCACCCAAAACAGACACCAGAGGTGCTGCCACTGATGCTGTGGTGACATTAGATCCCTTATGAGAGACAGACTGTGATAATAAAAGCAACAAATGCAGACCAGGAGGCGATATCACCTTTGTCTCCCTGTCTGTCTGTCTATATAGGAAGCTGCTGGAGGGCGAAGAGTGCCGCCTCAGCTCTGTTGGCGGCGCCATGGTCCAGTCTGGCTATCCCGGCTTCTCCTACATGTCAGCCCGCACCTACAGTCTCGGAGCCTACAGGAGGGCCGGAGCCAAGCCTGAAGAGGAGGAGGAGGAGGAGGAGGGAGAGGAAGAGGAGAAGGAGGAGGAAGAAGAGGAGGGAGAGGAGGGCGAGGAGGGAGAAGAGGGAGAAGAGGGAGAGGAGGGAGAGGAGGGAGATGATCAGGAGGAGGGTGAGGGTGAAGGTGAGGGAGAGGAGGAGGAAGAGGAGGAGGAGGAGAAGGAAGTGGAGAAGCCAAAAGAGAAGGAAGAGAAGGAGAAGAAGAAGGAGAGCCCCACTGG